TCCAGAAGTCATTGTATTGCTATGTCAGGAAAGAAAAAGAAGATTAATACTTGAAGCCAATATAATTGAGTGAGGTGACAAAAGGATCATGGTTTCACAGCTAAGCTTGAATTTCGTGTCAGGTTGCTAATGTGTTTTTGAATGGTCATGGATGAAAGTTAGCGAATTTCTGTGTGTATTTTGTTAAACTCCAGTAAATGCCAACACTGAGTCTTCTGTAACACTTATATTTAATCATTCCCCAAAATGATACTGTTTTGACATTTAATTTTTTTAAATAATATTTCTAAAAATATATCTATTTTTAATTAAAAAATATCTTCTGTTGCATAATTTGTGAACTGAACTTCCATACAACAGAGCGATCTTTGTACTGTTACAATATAATGCAACTTTAGCTTTAGTTTATAACTTGAGTGTTCTAAGCTAGTGTCCGGATCTGTGTTTGTTCTCTAAAAGCACCCCCATTCCTTCCTGACAGGTGGTAGTTCAAACTGTGATTTCAGTGCTGCCATTCTCTTGCACAAAGCTGTTGTCAACACAACACCGTTAGCTCAGAGACAAACCTGTTGGTAGAAACACAGTTCGGTCCCCCCACCCCCTTGTGTTTTTAAAGCTGTCTTTAGGTAACCAATCCACCGTCCACACAGCTTTGATTAATGCTTGTAAACGCTCCGTCTCTCACTGTCTTTAATCATGGTAGGGGTTATGGGTCCGTAGACATGCATGTTTTGTATTGTAAGAGGAGACATGGAGGTGCAAGGCAAATGAGATAGAACTTGATTTACCACAAATATGTTTAAATGATGGTTGAAATAGATGAAATTATCTAATTTTAAGCTATGTTCTTTGGAGAGGTTCCTTAACTTTTAGGTTAGAGTTGGGTTTAGGTCTTTGAGAGCAGTTTGGGCCTTTAAGATGTGCCCATCTTTCCCTCAGCAAAGGGTCTTCAGGTTAAACTCCCGCTCGTCTGAGTGATAGATTGCGGAGCCGCTTTGAAGAATGCGTGCCTCAAAGTGATCCTGAGAAGTCTAGGAATTGCAATTGTTTTAACTGTGGTGGATACAGATACAATCATCTGCTCTGCCCAGCCCACTGGGTATGAAGTGCGAAGAGAAGTAAGAGCAATCCCACCTAACCCCCCTCCACCTTCTTCAATTTAGTACTTAATGCTTTCTTCCCCTGTGGTCACTCATCAAGGCCTCACAGATGTTCTCAACACCCATCCCGGGTTACAAACTGCCCAGGTCACTGGAACACACCCAGGAATGGCAGCCATTTCACCCCTCCAGGCCAGGGCAGCCTCAGCTCCTGTCACTGCTCTTGAGTAAGGAGCCCTCATTTTGGTCTCAAACTCAAGACTTAAATAGCTGTTAGAATGTAGTAGTAATTTAGTGGTTTTGGTTATTAGGATACTTCTTGTGGAATGAAGAACCAAGACCAGTAACATTGGAGGTTGAAAATCAACTGTACTGCTGGCTCTGCTGACACCTGTCAACAGCACATTGTTAAAAGATGGAATGAGTTCTGTGGAATTCCTTGAAGACTGACAAGCAGAAATCTTTACGATTTGCTCTCGCTAGAATCATTTCTAAGAAACTGATAATCTTTGAACGTTTAGATTGTCTTGATTTCACAAAAACATCCATGTGTGCATTTAGGCACAAGGGCAGCAATGGAGAGAGTTTTGTTTGTCAAAATATTATTATTACATTTACATTTATGTATTAGACAGAAACTGTTATCAAAAGCGATTTATGTTGCATTCAACATAATTGAATTACATTTTATCAGTTCATGCATTCCCTGGGAATAAAACCCATGACATTGGTGTTGTTTGTGCCATACTCTAAAGTTTGATGTATCATGTATATTATATTATATTATATTATATTATATTATATTATATTATATTATATTATATTATATTATATTATATTATATTATATTAGATTAGATTAGATTAGATTAGATTATTATATATTATATTAATGGTATTATAAAAGACGAACCCATCATGGCCATCTGATTTATGGCTCTGCTTAAGCATGCACACATCCCAGTGGCTCACTCTCCAAGGAGGTTATAAACAGGGTGGCATTTTTAAGAGCAGCTAAAGCAGTTGTTGCATTGTGGGAGAGAGTATTTGAAAAAAAAGGTGCTACAGAAAGTTACACACTGATCTAAAAGGCGGACTATATGCTAAATAAAAAAGTTATTACTGGATGTTTTGTCTACACACACTTGTTGAATTATGATGTTGTATTTCCTCATAGCATATGCACAGTTGGTAAACTTTCCCTCTTTCCCCTCACTTTATTATCAGTGCTTTTTTCAACATTAATTGAGCTGCTCTAATGATTCTTAGAAATTAGGAAGTGTGGGTAGTTTCACTGATGTGACTTGTATGTTAAAATAAATCATAAAGTGTTCATATGACTCAGTCAGTCATGCTAATAAAATTATTCCACTACACGAGACCAGTTTTGGAGCTTAAATTGTACATGACTTGGCCTCTCAAGCAAAGATGTTATGATGATTTCAGCAGTGAATTCCTCTATACCCTTTAAAACTTACAACTCTACTTTTTCCCTAGAAACTTAATATTTTAGGTTCATTCTTTTATAGCTGTATTGTTTTTTTTTTATTGTTTTTTTTTTATACAGTTTACATGCTTGTGTTGATTGTTTTCCTTTTGTGATAAAGCCCAACTTTAATTATAATTTCAAATGAATGCTAATGTATACTGGCTTGGAGTAGATGGTGCACTGCCCTAGACCTCTGTAGTGGGATCAGACACACAGACTGACTTGCGTGGTCTTACTGTCTCTAAAAGATTCCATTATGTCCTAATTGCTCCATTGTAAAGACGTGTGTGTTTGAGAAGTTCTGTTGAGGCTGGAGGGTAATGCTCTAGTGTTTGTGTCCTCTTTGTGTGGGTATGTGTGTCTGCTCTTACAATACGCTTCTTTTCATACACCAATAGACCTGGTCTATTGTTTCTTTAGACAGGCTCTTAAAAGCCAGAGACTCATTGTTTCCAGGAGGCTGAGCAGACTCGTGGCATACACACACACACACACACACAATGACCGACCCCTGTCTGTACAGTGCTAATGGCACTCTCAGGTGTTTGGGTGTACAAAATAGGCTATATATTAAAAATATTTTAAAACTTTAAAAAATTGTTTCTTTCTAGACAAAAAATAATTATTTTAACACATGCATTACTCAAAATGAATGTACGCTAGCTTTTAACATTTCTGGGATTCTCAGAAGCGGAAGTCGTCATAGTTGCATAAACTTCTATAGTGGTGTACAGAAACTACGACAAATATAATTTGCGTGCTTCCATTTGCCCCAATAGCAGAAATCCATGATAGCATTTTGATGACTTTCCAAAAGAGGAAAAAATATTAAGAGATTGATTGTTTGTCAGAAGAGAGAAATATCAAATTTGCAGTCACTCCCTCAGCCGCTGGTTTAGCAACACGGACACGCAGCATCATTAACCAGTTTTCTCTACTTTAATGCCAAGAAAACACCAAGTATACTGTTATAAACATACTTTTTTTTTTTTATGAAAATATAAAAGAACTTTGCTATATTTATGATGTAATAACTAGAGAAACACGTCATCACAGTCTGTGAAAAGGGTCCATCTTTGATTGTGGCCCACAGCATCAGGAGAATTTTATGAGGAGGGAGTGAAAAAGAAAGAGACAGGAAAAGAGAGAGAAAGGGGAGAAGCGTGCAAGCTGGACAGCTGTCTCCATCCATGCCTGAAATAAACAAGGGACTTGGTTGAGATTAATGACTGTCTAAAGAGCCACACAACCATGGCACCTCATCCGGGAATGTGGCGTATATAAATGGAAAGGAATGGACTGGAGGAGTGGGGCTGGAAAAGACTGGCTTACCTCCAGAACATTCTTCCTTCTCTCAAATGACAGTCATTTTAATTCCTCTCTGCGCCTTCACTGGAACAAGGCAACAGGAGCCGTGTGAACTGTGTATCGCCCATTCACTGGCCGTCCCCCTCGCTGACCCCACCTTCCTTTGTTATTACTGCATCTTCCAGTTCATTTAGTGTTGTCTTTATTCATTCCTACAGAGCCCACCCTCAACATTAGAGCAATTAAGGAGTGCTAAAGACTTAATTGGTCCTGAATATGATGGTTGTTTACATTGTAAACGACTGCAGTATCACACCTATTGAATAAAAATCACTGGGATAAATTTAGAAGTAGTTCATTTTGAGCTAATTAGACGTGTCATATTTAAGACCCTATTTGTTCCTGTTAGATGTTAGGCTACTTTCAATTCCTTGAGAATGTGGGCAAAAAATGCTGGGTCGTTTCAGAAGTCAAATATGGACAATTAAAATTTTAATTAAAAAATGTAAACCAACGGTTGGGTTTGTCCATATTTGACCCAAACATGGGTTGAAACAACCAATCTTTTTCTTTCTATTTTTTTTAGTTTGTGCTTAGTTGTTAATCATTAATTATTATGGTTTAATAATGTCAGGTTTCTAATATTTACATAATGTTATTTTTTAGATAAAACATTTGAGTGAGAGCATAACTGAAACATTACATATTGTGGTAATCCTTCTCATCTGTCAGGATTGACATATATGATGTTGTTATAGAAGGACATTTACTGCCTTTCTTAATACAAGTACACAGACAGGGCTGTTTGATGAACAGTTTGAAAAAGTGCATAACCTCTTGGGTCATAATTCTCTCTGACTTGTGCATACTGTACAAAGACTTATTTAAGTCTGCCAAGCACTGGCTGATATGCACATCATCTGTTTTTCTGAGCCCACCATTACATCATAGCCTGAAGTATTAACATCAAAAGAAGCTGTATTGTGGCAACAACTCATTAATGTTTTGATGAATATTGTGTCTTTGTTCATGTGACACTGCTAATACCATAAACACTTGAAAAGATTGTATACTGATCAAAAATACTCCCTGTTTTCCCTCTAGCCACAGTATACAAGTCTGGGGCTTCTCAACAGCATGGATCAAAATGGTGGCTCCACCTCCACCAGCCCCTACAACAACGATCATGCTCAGAACAATGTAACGGCACCATCACCCTACGCCCAGCCCAGTTCCACCTTCGAAGCCCTGTCTCCATCACCTGCCATCCCATCCAACACAGACTATGCTGGCCCACACACCTTTGATGTGTCCTTCCAGCAGTCCAGCACAGCCAAATCAGCCACCTGGACGGTAAGTCAATGCAATTGTGTATATGTGTGATGGATGATGGATGACTTTTATATTATTTTTTACCTTATGAAATGAAATATTGCTAGTAAACTACAGACAAAAGCCATTTATACCATTATACTATTTATTTACACCCCTCCCCCCTTACACACACACACACACACACAGACAAACAACAACAACAACAAAAAATCTAATTTTATTCAGATACCTTTTATTTATGGGGTATGGGATTAGAGCCAAACCAATAGAGAAAGGAGACCATGTTGTCCTTTAAATCTAAATTGGGGTTAAGTGTCTGGCTTTAGGGAAACAACCAAATATTTCTGCACCAGGAAAGTGGACCTCCTGCCCTCTGGTTACAAATCATCTATGTATGGCATTTGGAGTGTTTTGTTGTGTTATGACAGTGTACTGTGGTTCTCTGTTACACAAGGACAAAGACTCTGTGATGTGCTTATTAAAGCAGGTGATTTCTGCTGTCAAGGGTTCTTCTTCCTCTAGAAGGATAGTAACGTTTTTGTCTGTCTGAACTCAGCTTTAGGCACTTCTGTGAACTTTATGAAAGTTGTCAGTTGCAAAACTCTCTGTGGCTGAGAAAAAAAGGCACAATATTTACTGCACAATACCTGCCATCTTTTTGAAGATTTTCTCAAAGTCAGTTAAAATAGGTACAAACATAAGCAGTTATTTAAAAAAAAAAAAAAACTTTTTTATTGTTAATCAATAAAATGCATTATCTGATTAATACTTTTTGAAAATTAAAAAAATGTGAAAATTAAAAAAAATATTTTAAAAAGACGAAAGGAAAATTCTATTCAAAAAGGGCCACGACTGACCCCTGCTGGTGAGTTGTTGCTTTTCATAGACCGCTATGTCCACATAGCGGAAACAATGCGCATCAGTGAGAATTACATTAGCTGTGTCACTGTCACTTTGTTTTGCATAGATCTGTGTCACCCCTTTATAATCAAACCGACTAAACTTGCTAGGCTAGTTGTAGCAGCATGGGAACAATCTCATCAGGCCACTAAGTCTGTCAACTAAAAGTACAAAAAAAACTGGCTTTCGGTCGGACAACTCACCCTAGCGGTTGCTAGCTATAGCTAATTAAGGTCTTGTCGACCTTGTCTTCACACTGTTTCTTCATTTTTTTTGCTGTGTTTTATTATAGCAATAACAACAGTTGTTATTTTTGCACTAAATGTGATACTTTTATTTCTGACAAGGCTAACCTGAGCCCTTCAGTGGAAGTTATTTAATCACAGACATTAAATCAGATAAATGTCTACCATTATTTGAGGTTAATTGATCCCAGCTATTATAAACCAATGTCTTGCTAATCTTGAATTTGGCAGATTGTGGTCCTGAAAAACCAGTGAGTCAGTTGCGGTAATGCAGTCTTATATCTTTGAGTAAACAAGTTGAGAGGAGATTGGTTTGTGAGTTGCTCAGTGCTCATTGGCTACAGTGCAGTGTGGGATTGTGACATTTACCCTATTCCCACAAGAGCCCTTGTCATCCTCACTTCTTGACTTCACCAATACAGCAGCAATAGTCAGACACCTCACTGTACTTAGAGAAGACTTCTGGGTGTGAGAAAGACACCACACCCATGTTTGTCCCATTTAAGTTGTCCCTACTCATTCTCTTCACTGTGAGAAACGGAAATATGAATGCTATGAAGAGTAGCTCGTCTTTTAATTTAATAACAGTTTAGCTAAGTGAAAGGCATTTTCTGGGTTAAGATTTATGTAACCCACGCTTGTTCTCCATACGCAGCTCAGTCTAATCCTGCATATATTGCTTCCATGACACACACCCACACACATATTTCCTGGCATTGCATCCTACCGCTCATCATTTACGGGAATGCTTTTGCAATCCTGCTTTTTTGTTGATGTCAATGATAAGACAAACCATTCATGAACCTTTTTTTGTCCGTTTTCAATTTTCAGAGGAAACCCATCCCCTCAATCATTTTCAGTTAACTTTTTTGGCTGGTGTTCGTTTTGTTTGATGTTCTTTAGAGCAAAGCCTCCATTTGCATTTTACTGTCAACCTATCAATGCATCCAACGGTATGGGCACGATTTTGTTTGCCCAGTGGTTCACCTGTATAGAACGGCATGACCGAAGGAATGCGACCACTAGAGTTGTTGTCTCAAGAAGCGAGCTAGGGATTAGAAGAATGGGTCAGTAATACTCGTGTAAATACTCCATGCCTTTCCCCTGAACCCTACAGTGCCAAAGGGGCTGTTCCCTGCTCAATGAGTAAAGCTTTTCGACTGCGTCTCTCATAATGCCGCAGGACAAGGAGATGAGAACGAGGATAGAAGTTGGGGGAGGACAGACGCGTTCAAAGAGATGAGTGTTCCAGCGAAAGGTGGCAAGATACGACTTGTCCATGGAACATCTGCAGGCCCGTCCCACGCCTCGTGAGATGGAGCTGAGACTTGTTTGTGTCAACGAGCTTGTCAAGACTCGTCTGACATTGCCACGTAAAGCCCTAAAACCTAGAGCAAGCAGAGGAAGAAGAAAAGGAGGGAGAGGTTTATTTAAAAAAAAAAAAAAAATCTGAGGTTGAAAAGATTTTTATGATAGGGAAATGATTTCTAAGAAAGGCGTACCTGGAAAAGCACACTTCTCTGACAGGTTCTGTTTAGAGATTTGTTGTTCTTGTTGTTTTGTGTTTTTAAACAATGAAAGATTACCTGTGCTTTTAAAGACCACGTAAGAGGTAGAACTGGACTGAGTCAAAGAAGAGATCAGTCTGTCAGCACCAGTATAGCGACGCGTCTGCTTTAGCTCACTTGCACGCTCATAATCTCCATTTTATCGTGCAGCCGAGATACAATGGATCTCTCTGAAAAGGCCCGGCATCTACTTATTAGACGTGACCTTAAAGCCCACCTTTTGTGCGACACCTTCAGACCATAATTGATCGAGAACAGAAATGCAAACACCTTCGTTTTCAGCAAAAGAAGAAATAAAGGTAGCTGTGAGGAAAGAATTTGGCAGCACTCAGGGGGACCATTGAGCAAAACTAGGGGAAATCCAGCATAATTACACCAAAGCTTGTCACACGTTTTCTGGGAAAGATCACATTTCCAGAGCATATAATTTAATCACAGGGCATTAGCTAGTGCCAGGAAGCATTGGGGGCATTTGTTTACATCACTCGAGAAAGTATGAATATGATGAGGGTAGTTTGCAGAACAATCTCCCTCCAAATGCACTATAAACAGAGTTACTGATTTTGGTTTGAAAACCAATTGCATTTAAATGTCGATATGCACCTTTGGCTTCATCCTTTTTGTGCACAAAAGGTCTGGTTTTTCGCTTTCAAACCAGTTGAAGTAAATATGCATAAACAGTGAACACCATGCAAAGTTTTCAGCATGGCTGTTGATTTGCTAATCAAAACCGTGGCTGCATCCCTCCTGCTCACCAACTAAGTCCTGCAAACGTGCAACACACCAAACAATTGTTTCCATGTATTTCAGTGTAAAAAAGCATGCCATAATGAATAAAGAGCAATTTGAACTCTACCCTCAACATTTCTAGCATGAAAGATATTAAGCACAGGTAATGGGCAATGTCCTGTGCAATTTGCCTTTGAACAGATTAGCATTTTTCTGTGTTTAATTAGGATTTGAGTGTAGGCTGTGCAAAAGTTTTGCTTTCCAAACTCACCAAACAGGTGTTTTTATTATTTTTCCCTGCTGTGCCAAATGGGGGGGGAAACAACAATTTTATTTCTTTCCCAATGAAACAGGTTTTGGAAGAAGCAACAGGCGTGATGGTACATGTCAGGTATGAGGTGGGACAAGACCAGAGGCGCCAGAGCATTGGGCCAACCCGCCCTGCCATGCTGAGACACGAATACAGCCTTAGCCCGCAGCCCTGCTCTGCTCAAACACACACACACTACAGCTGCAAACCTGTCACAACATGTACAGCACTGTATGTGTGTGCGTTTGTTGTATGTGTGATTGTGGTTTTGCACACAAATCTCTGTATGTGTAAAAATCTCTTGAGCAGATTCTACATGTTTCCTTTAGGCTGATTGTCAGCTGATATACTGCAGAAGTGGTCTGCAAGAACTAAAATATCATACCAGTTTTTTAGCATCTTGCAACTGTAGTGTAGAATTCTGGGTAGCACTTTACAATAAGGCTCAATTTGTTAACATTTGTAAATGCATTAAGGGGGTCATGATGACCTAACAACAATGTACTTTTTACTACATTTATTTATCTTGATTAATGTTCATTTATAAGTATACTTATACATCAGTGTTGTTATTGTTCAATAAAAATAAAACTATTACAAATTTATAAAAACTGAAATAAATTAAAACATCAATAGATGTAAAACTGAAATTTAGAAATTTTGCCTTGAAATAAATAAGTTGAAGTTGAAGTACTAAAATTAAAGCTAACTAAAATTATTTTAAAAAAAAACTAATAAAAAAGACAAAAGCACATAACAATTTTACTTAAACGTAAACTAAAAAGAAAACTGAAAATTAGGTTAAATCAAAATATCAATAAATACTTTAATAGTTTATAAATAATAACGAAACAACAGATATATTTTAACATTGTATATATTTAACATAAAATGTATGAATGATCATGAAATAACAATAAACAATAATATGTTTATAAATGAACATTAACCTATAAATGCATTAAAAAAATATTATTCATTATAACTAATGTTGACAATTTTAATCTTTTTGTAAAATGTTATGAAGCTCCTTTTCTGTTCAAGCAGTTCCTCTAACCTTTTTGTTCCATTCCCAAGCTGTGTAATTCCCATTGTAGCCCATGACTGGGACATAATTACATGTTAACACCACTGTGCCCCTCCCTGTAAAACAGCCAATGCCTCCAATTCATCAGATCACTGTGTGGCCCCACCCTTTGTGTATGTGTGTGTGTTTTATGTGTGTGTTTTTCCCTGTCAGAAGCGGCTCATTTGGCCCTAAGCAAACACGGGAGCCTCCACACATGTTTGCGTTCTGAAAAAATTTGTTGCTTTAGGGCTAGAATTGGTATATCAACTGCTTTGTTTGTGTGGTAAGTTTTGTAGGTTGAAGTCTACGATGTTGCAAAATATGTAAGAACGGTGTTTGTTGTCAGTATGTCATTTATATCTGTCTCTGGCTTTTTTGCTGGGCCTCTGTGTGACTGACCCTCTGGCATTCATGTCTACATTCATTGGTCCTAGAGGATCTTCCCTCTCCCCTTCCCCTTCCCACCTCATTTAAATGAATGACAGGAGCGTACAGGGCATATCAAGTTGGGAGCAGAGGGGCAATTACAGTTATTTATCTTTCTTTTATAGAACACCTTTCAAATAGTGCGTTCAGTTCACGCACAAAACACCTCCATCATCCCTCGGTGAAAGCACCCTGGTGCTAATTTAGTCAGAGCTAAAATGGGTCAAGTCAGTTCTGAGAGTGCAGATGATGAGTGAAGGTGCTGTTATGCTGTTGACTTTCGGATGAAGACATCATCAGCTAATGCAAGTGATATGACAAGTCAGGGAGCCGAAAATATAGACTGCACAATGTTGCTGACATAAAATTTGTCAAAAAAGATGCAGTTAATGAAATAAGTCATAAACTAACAATGATTTTTTTTTGTACAGCATAATATAAATTATAATGATGATATATGTTGAGCAATTTATTAATCTATTTTAAAAATCTGCATTAAACATTAAACAGTTTAAAATGTTAATATGCTTTTATTAATTCATAATGTTTAATGTTAATTTGTGAATTAAATAATGTTTATTTATGAATGTTTATTAAACCTGTTATGTAGAAATTACCATTATTCTAGATTAGTAAATGCTGTTAAAGCATCTTGTATCCTTTACTGTGATCTTATTGTATCAGTAAAATCATAGGCCGTATGGGGAGGCAAATTCATCATGGATTATTCTTTTCTTTTCTTTTAATGGTGTTTTTTTCCCCCCCTACATCATCCAGTTTGTTCTACCAATTCCTTCAGGAAATGGCCAGGATTTGTGTGTGTGTTTGTTCTTGTCAAGATTGTGTAATACTCTGAAAGCTCACAAGCAGGTGTTGGGACGGGCTCCTCTCATTGGAACACTTCATATCAAAAGTTAATAGAGATGGAATTTAATGTAACATTGTTCTTCAGAACAGCCCCGGGCAACGTTCACAGCCCTTTTTTCTTTCTTTCTTCATCATCTTCACCTTTTCAAATGAACTTGACAGGAAAGTTTTCTTCACAGTTATTTTCCATGTACTTGATACGCTGCTTTCAGCACAAGAATTCATTTCAAAGCTGCAAAGAAAATTATGGTCTGTGCTATTTTTCTTGAAAAAGAAGTGATGTGCAACCAGCCATCTACAATACAAAATCAATGGCATACCATTAGATTTTGCAACATTGATGGTGGCTGAGGGGTGATTTGCAGTTGTCACAATGTTGGCGGTCACACTTTGTGAGACTGTTTCATCACGTAGATCTTTCTTTTTGACCTGGTGTGTGTGGTAAGAGAGTATCTTAAACACTTGATGATGCTGTAAGTATGAGTAACACCTGAGTTTTAGCCTGTGGTGATGCGGATGATTCAAGCACACTGTGTGATGCAATTGTGATTTTTGTGGTCAGTGACACCCAGAACATCAATCTGTCATCAGTGATGAAGAGGATGTTGGGAAATACAGTTGTGATTACCTCTTAAGATTTATATCTAATAATGATGTGGACAGTAGCTGTTTGTTTTCATGCATTTAGAAACAATAAACCTAATTAATGAAACTCTAATTAATGTAAAAAGCCATTATTACGTAAATTGTTGATTTGAACATGACAATTTATATAAGAATAGTATAATCAGGGCTTGACATTATTAACACCCACCAACCCACCAAATGCGGGTGGATTTTAGCAGTGGGAGTCACTCCTACTAGACACTTTGGCCGGTTGAAATTTATACATAATATATACTTTATTTTTTTTTAACTGTAGTCTTTTAAAAAATGCATCTGAAATAATAAGTGCAATGTAGTGTCAAAAATATAAAGTTTTCAAAACATATTGATATGTCAAGCCTATTAACGAATTAGACCATTGGTTCTTAACCAGGGGGCCTCAAGCAAACTTCCAAGGGGTCCTGATTATGACTTAAAATGTTTTAAAATATGACAAACAAGCTAAAACTATTTAAATCACAGCTAAACTTCTGGAATGTTATTTAATTTGATCTATTTTTTTATTTTTTATTTATATTTTTATTCAAATTATTCGAGTACTAAAACGAGTGGAGAACCGCTGTTTTAGACTAAATTCGTTCTGTATGAACAAGACCTATTAAGGGCATTTATGATTTAAGCTTTGCATTGCTCAACAACAGAAATATTATCACATCAGGGTAATAATTTTTACATCAGATTTCTGCAACAAAATGGTTCCTGACATCTTCATAGATAATTTATGCTTCAGGTGGATTAGAAAGCATATCTTAGTGTGCTTTGTTAAACACAGGTATATCTTAACCCATGACAGCTGTAGGACAGAACCAGAAGTCCTGCCGCCGAATACCAGCTGCTATTCCCTTTAAAGACAGTTATATATGGTGCTTATTCCTCTAAAGGGTTGCCAAACTGCAGCTGTTTTATCTCTGCATTGGCTGTTTAAGAGAAAGACTTTCTTTACATGAACATTTTACAAAAGATTTGCAACATTTTAGTAATACTGATTAAAATGTGCTTATATTGTTAAAATAGGAGTGCAGTGATATTACTGATACATAAAGTAATTTTTGGTTGTTTTAATGGCAGTTGCTAACCAAACTCTTCTGTCTTTTCTTTAGTACTCCACAGAGCTGAAGAAGCTGTACTGTCAGATTGCCAAAACCTGTCCCATTCAAATCAAGGTCCTTACCAATCCACCTCAGGGTGCAGTTATACGGGCCATGCCTGTCTATAAGAAAGCTGAGCATGTTACTGAGGTGGTCAAACGATGCCCGAACCATGAACTGAGCCGAGAGTTCAATGACGGTATGTCACTCTTCTAAATTTGTACTCAAGAAATGCGATTGTGTTTTTAATCTTCCGCTTGGTGATATAATCGATTGACTTTTGTGTTCATTAGGCCAAATAGCCCCACCCAGTCACCTGATTAGGGTTGAGGGGAACAGTCATGCTCAATACATGGAAGATTCCATTACTGGGCGTCAGAGTGTACTGGTGCCTTACGAGCCCCCTCAGGTACACACACACACACACACACACACACACACACACACACACACACACACACACACACACACACACACACACACACACACACACACACACACACACACACACACAGGTATTCCTATCATTATGAGGACATTCCATATGCGTAATGATTTCTATACTCTACAAACTGTATAATCTATCCCCTAAACCTACCCATCACAGAACACTTTCAGCATTTTTACATTTAAAAAAAAAAATCACTTAGTATGGTTTATAAGCTGTTTTCCTTGTGGGGACATTTGGTACTCATAACATAGGGCTTACAAGGTACACACACACTGCTCAGTGAACCTGGCTCTCCCTACATACCCTGCACACCTGAAATCATTCCTAACAGATGTTAATTTACAGCAATGAACAACTGTGTGGTGTATGACATGGTTGTTCCCCATTAACAGGTGGGCACAGAGTTCACAACCATCCTGTACAATTTCATGTGTAACTCCAGCTGTGTTGGCGGAATGAACAGACGGCCTATTCTTATCATCGTCACTTTGGAATCCAGAGAGTAAGACGATTTCAAAACGCATTGGATTGTAGTGAATGAAATAGCACTAATTTGTGAAGAACAAAATATGGAAACATGCATACATTTCTTCATTGGTCTCTCCAGTGGTCAGGTTTTGGGCCGACGGTGTTTTGAGGCTCGTATCTGCGCGTGTCCTGGACGTGACCGCAAAGCTGACGAAGACAGCATCCGCAAACAGCATGTCAGCGACGGCACAAAGAGCAGTGAGGGTATGAAACGCCGTAAGTAGTGCTGGGGGCTGGTGACTGGACTTCATCTAACACAAATACATTTGCATTGCATGTTTCTTACTCCTAGGTCGTCCTCACCTCTATATAGGCCATGAGACGGGACCCCAAATTTGGGCTACCGGTACCATTTTGAGGGATTCAATTTCTTTTTGATTTTCATGAAGGTACACATCTCTAGTGTTGGAAAATGTGTGATAGCATCCAAGCCATGGTAGCTTTCATTAGAAATCAACACTTATATCATCCTACCTCAAGGTAAGGTGTTCAGTGACTACAAGAGAGAAAAATGTATCCTTTTATAATTTTAAAAATGTATGGAAAAAAATTATAATTTTTTTATTATAAAATTTTAAAATTTATTTAAAGATAAATTAATTTATCCTTTTTCTTGACATATGTTTGAAAATCGTCCTCCTCCTTAACCAAAAACTACCTTGAATCTAATGCTATCACACATTTTTCAAATACAGGGTCATATACCTACACAAAAATCACCATGCGGTTTAATCCCTCAAAATGGTACCAATCAACCCTCTGTCTCACGGCCTAATAGATACTGCATGTCCTCTTGAACAAACAAACACACACACACACACACACAACACTGCAACTTTTCCTCCTGTTCTGTGCTTTTGCTCTGCATCTTGTGCTTGCAGATCTTCTTTTGCTGCTGTTTCACTTCCTCTATCTCTGTCTTCCACAGCTTTCCGCCAGGCCTCTCACCTGTCTCAGCACCCCTCCATCAAGAAGCGAAGATCCACCGATGAGGAAGTGTTTTGTCTGCCTGTGAGTATCTCTGCTTTGTCTGCTGCAATATTCCAGCATTAGATTTTCGGTTATTTATTTTAAATAAAATATAAGACTTAGTTCACACAGGACTTATTCTTGCATCAGTTTATACAGTTTTATTTGTATTATTATTATTTTTCAATGTTAACATACACTAGGTGGACATCTTTGAATGTCCACCACAATTGGTCCTAAATGAACGGTCTCTTACTCGATGAGGAAGAGTTGTTAAAACTTTCTATGAAGCCTGCTTATATAATGCATTTGTTTTATTTATGTTATATAACCCATTAAAAACACCAAACTACATGTTACCTTGTGGTATAATGTGCTACTTTTTAACTGTGAAAATGTAATTATAATAATGTTTATAACTGTTATGATAACAATTAACAATAACTTATGAACAGATCATTGATAATTTGTAAATATTATATTTTTGTAAATATTAGTAATTAGGTATACTATCAATCAAGTAGCAATGAATAGTAATTTTACAGCATGTATTAATCTAGGTTATTGATCATTTCTACACATTCTATATATATATATTTTTTTTAGTAGTATTTTTTTAAGTATGTTACATATTTTAAAATGCATATGAACAATAGTGTATTCATAAATTATTAGATTAATTCATAATTCATCATTTAGATTAATAAATTAATTATGAATACCTTTACAATGCATTAAAACCTGTTAAAGTCATACTTCATAAAGTGTTACAGACATATTTGGTACTGAAAAGATAATAAATAATAAAGAAAAAATAATGTAAGCATAATGTAAGAGTCTGACATCCAGACTTATCCCTCCCCTCTTCCTCTCTGTGCTTCAGATTAAAGGCCGTGAAATCTATGAGATTTTGGTGAAAATCAAAGAGTCTTTGGAACTCATGCAGTTCCTCCCTCAGCACACTATTGAGTCATACAGACAGCAACAGCAGAACCTACTGCAGAAACAGTGAGTACCTTACACATGCAGAAAGATTCCCTAATAAAATGGGGGTGATTCTGCCTCATTGGAAAATTGAGAAAAACAATAAAATGGGGAATTGATCCTCAGTTCATAATTTTTTATAATGTGACTAGCCACACAAAACTATAGGCAAGTACTACACAGTGCTAGCAAGGTCCACCCACAGATTTATATTTGTGGCAGTGTGTTTTAATAACTTGATCAACCTGCTTTCTTTCAACGTTTGTGATTGCTCATTAACGAACTGTGAACTGACTTTGCAATTTCACTTTTTTTGATCAGCCATTAATTTCCACCTCTTATGAGGGCTTCTAGAGTGCAAACACTTGAACATGGCAGTTTAATTCTCTCACACTGATAATATAATCTTGGTTACAGCATGAATGTATGCGTTTGGATTGCATCTGCATGAGATTTGTGTTGTGCATCACTGATGATGTTGTTAAAAGCTCTTAATCAAACCCTGCTGTTATGGTCAGCAATTCACATAATATTAGCTATGGTTTGCATTCTGCTTGGCTTCATATTAAGGGTGTACCTTGCTCTGATTTATTCTGATTTTGTCACTGTATGCTGTTAAGATTTCCACAGAAACAAGTTTATACTCTGCAGGCACATTTGTATTGGTCTTCATGGTAAATGCATATTTAGTCTGCCCTTAACCTTTAGCACAGTTTCCTCAGAAGCACATTCTGTATCTGCTGTAATAGTGCCCAACAGAGCTGGAGGGAGAGACATGTGAAATGCTTTTGACAGCTTCTCTCATTAACAAACCAACTGATGTCTGACAATAAGAATTTAAATGTCAACGATTGTCTTCCTGTAAATTTCCTTAAGACCGTTTAAACCATCCACACCCAACTGAGCTGTTCAGTGACGTCAGTTTGTAGGTCAACTGGATTCGCCATGGATTCCCTAGGGAAGTTCTAATGGGTTTTCAGAATAGCCTTTTTTTTTCTCGATTTATGAGTAAAATAAAGATTTGGTTACATAATCTCAGATATTTTTGGCAATTCTATATTGTAGGACAAAATCCTTTAATATTAACCACAGAACACATTTACTTTTAAGAAACAGCCATACTAAAAACCCACAGATATTCCAAAGGGAACCAATGGCTTAAAAAGGCTAATTCTCTACTGAGTTTTAGAACTGTAAACTGCTCAAACAGCTCTAGTGTGAGAATATGTGAAAGAAAGGCTGGTGATTATAGGGTATTTGTCCCCTATGTACAAGAACAAGGAAAGAGCACACAGGCTGTGAAATGTGCATCGTTTGACTCTCCAAAACTATATTTTGAGTAGCCTGTTAATGCAGTACACATCGAATGCATCCCTATAGGTAGATAGTTTATTTACAGTAACATTTCCTGGCACAAGTGTGGTTTGATCATTTTCAGCTTTCTCTGCATGCTGTTAATTCCCTCTTGTTTCATAAATCTGTTTTTCTAACTATATATATATATATATATATATCTTTTTTTTCTCTGTTTTAAATAAAGCTCCTTCTGTCATAGATTCAGTGGGTTGGTCGTTTTATTTTGTTGATTTCCTTCTTGTTCTTTCTCACTGTCTCAGAATTACTTCCATAGTTGCAACTTACTGCCATCTTGTGGAACGATTGTGCGCATGCTAAAATATGAAGAAAAAAAATCAGATCCTAATATCAAATATTTAAACATAGTTTGAGCCTTTTTTTTTTTTTTTGGTTGACATATCTTTTAGCACCTTTAAATCACATAATGTAGTTTTATATACATGAATGAGGCTTTTAAGATTTGTAGATGCATGTTTACATTGTATCCCATTTCTTTTAGGCTAATAGTCTATATTTTTAAAACTTAATATATTATTATATAATTCCAGTTTGATTTACCCATCATCAACTGCTCATCACTGTGGTCTCTCTCTTTCTTTTCTTTTATTTCATGATACAGTGTAATAAATGGTGTTTAAATGGTGTCATCTTTTTCATTTTTCCTGACATTGTGTTATTCCTCCACCTCTTTTTCTCTCTTCTCTCCTCACATCTTCCTGCATTTTCCTGTCTTTCTATTTCTCACTGTCTATCTTTGGTTCTTTTCTACAGTCTGATAAGGGCCCGTTTGCGCTCTGAGCTTCTGGACCCAATAGGTGAGCAGAAGAGGCGCTTCAGTGCTTCCTGAAAATAGGAATCCCATTCCTCCTCCTCCTCCCTCAGAGCATCCTTCGCTCATCTATCTCCATCTCTTCTTCATCTCATCCTCTACCCCTCTAGGGGCTCCTTGTGCTTCTCCAAAGTGTCAACTGTGGTAACTCTTAGACTTTTTACATGCCACAAATAGGTTGAACACAGGATTTTGTTTTCTACCACCTGAAGACCTCGTTCTAAATGTGAGCTCTCAAGTGAAGTCGGTTTAGATATTTGTGGAAAGTCCATTGCATGATTTTGCCCCTCCAAAGTGTATTATCCAGACTATGGCGCTTGTTTATCAATTGAAATGATCCGTTTGTGTGTTAAATTTGCTTACACTCAACCTACACTCAGATTTAGTTGCATTAGTATTGTTGTTCAATAATCTGAAGTGTCTAAAGTTTCTTAAAACATTTCATTTTCCGTGTTTGATGTTTCTTAAAGGGCCCTTGTGACTGAGGCGGCTTGTTGCCTCAGCATTTACTATGATCTGCTGGTATTGCACAGAAACCCATTGCACAGAAACAGTATAGCAACTTGTCAGCTGACCACCTTATTTCTCTCTTTCTCTCTATTCTTTCCATCTATTTTTCTTCTTTCTATCTCTCTAAATAATCCTGAATGTCGAAACTGACCAGGAACCAAGCACACACCTTTTTATGGGACTCATAGTTTTTCTTTAAGCTCTCGATGATGGTTTATCTTAATAGCTTTTTGTTTTTGCCTCTGTCTTCATTTTATTATTGGAGCTGGACTCATTGAGTTGTCTATAAACGTGGGGGGATAGACTTTATTGATGACTGAATTTTGATAATGCTGGTCATGTTTTGTAAAGTGTACTGCTGGGCAGTTTTTTTTGTGCGTTTTGTCTTGATTATTTGTGCATTTTCTTTAAAGAAAAATGTATTTCCTGCTATGTACATGGCAGTTAAGAGAAAAGTAAATGAATGCTACAGTGTTGACAGATCCTTTTGTTGTTTCATATGAAATTAATGGTTGTTGTATTCTCAATGGCTCTTGCACTTTTGTCAGTTACTACTATTCAATAAATAACTTCTCTGCTTTTGTGTTCCTATCCCTACACTTTGTGTTCCTATCCCTACACTTCCTCTTTAATCTCGTTTCTTCTCCTTTATCTCATTGAATCTTCTTTTTCCTTGAATTGTCAGGGCCTTTCAGTCAGCAGGGCATTTCAAAATATCAATGAACTGAAACACTTAGTGTTTTTATTATACATTATGTGAACAAAGAAAGCAACATATGCATGCAAGTTAAAGGGTTAAACCACCCAAAAATCATTTACTCACTCTAGTCACTGTCACTCCAAATCTGTATGAATTTTTTTTCTTATATATATTAAAGAACATATTAAAAATATATATATTTTAAAGAATGTATTAAACCAAACCAATCTGATTTTCAGTGACGTCTCTAAAAATATCTCCTTTTATGTTCCAGAAAAGAAAGCAAAATCATATGTGGGAGAGTAAATTAGAGTAAACGATGTTTTGTTGGGCTGACTTAACCCTTTAAGGCCATATTACACAAATACGGCATGTAAATGAACAATAAACGAGTCTTATATGAGTCAATAAATCAGTTTTTTCCCCTTTTGTTCATATTGTTAATTTACATGACATATTTGTGTAATATGGCCTTAAGGGTTAAGTCAGCCAAAACAATTATCTTTTTTCTCTACACCAGAATATATAGATTTTTGTATACATGTTTATACCTCTTTGCTGAGAATGGCAGAACAACAAAAAACATGGTAGAGACTTTGCACATAGTGTCCAAAACATTTAATCATGACAAGGTAGCACACATTTAATAAGCCTATGCGAAGAGGTCAGTAATGGGTCATTTGGACGCCCACTATAGTTTAGGCAAATATCCAATGACAGTATCAGAACCTGTACTTTCTTTCTCCCTCAGGAGCTCTCTGCCACCTCAACCCAACTTCGGTTCCAGCTCACCCACCCTCGGCAAGAACAAGCTGCCATCAGTCAGTCAGCTCATCAACCCCCAACAGCGTAACACACTCACCCCATCCAGCATGGCTGGAGGACTAACTGACAGTAAGGACTCTATTTAATCATCAGTCAAATGAATAGATGCTTACAGTCTATCTACAAATGGATCAGATTATGTTAGAACTAGCAAAAGATCTTATAATCAATATAAAGCAATTTCGGAAGTTAATTTTACATGCGAAGGTGTCTCCAAACCCTTCCTCCTCAGTGAAGGAGATCCTGTCTGGGCTTGAGAAACTCTCAGTTCTCAGTGTCACTTTGACAGACAGTTTCCTTTTAAAATTGAACTAGATCTTTGTGGGACAATCCGCCTTCCCTTCGGCACACTGTCAAAATTTACTTATACATGATAAATATGCATTGTGAAGTGTGCCTCGGGTTTCATGTTTTCTAAAATCACCTAATGCATACTTGGTGCCCTCGGGTGTTAATGTAGAGTATATAGGCTAAAATAATTGCGGTTAGGTTTGGGACAAGGAAATATAACATACTTTTCTTTTATTGGTAACACTTTTCTAAATAAATTCTAAATTTCTAAATAAATCGTGAACATTAGTTAATGCATTTAGTATCACAAACAAACAATGAATCAACAAATATATATATAGGCCTATACTATATGTAATCAATTGTACATATAGTGCAGTCTGGGATTTAATAACTCTTATGTTCACAGAGGCTGCATTTATTTGATCAAAAATATAGTAAAAATCATTAATACTGTGAAATGTTTATACGGTAACACTTTACAATAAGGTTCATTAGTTAACATTAGTTAATGTATTAACTAACATGAACTAACAATGAGCAATACATTTGTTTCAGTATTTATAAATCTTTGTTCATTTTAGTTAATAAAAATACAGCTGTTCATTGTTTGTTCATGTTAGTTCAGAGTGCATTAACTAATGTTAACAAATACACCCAAGTAATGCAACGTATTGCTTAAGGTTGAAATTAATATTAACTAAGATTAATAAATGCTGAAGAAGTATTGTTCATTCTTAGTTCATGTTAACTAAGGAACCTTATTGTAAAGTGTTACCATTATTACTGAGAAAAATAATATTTTTTTCAGGATTCTTTGATGAACAGATCAAAACAACAGCATTTATTTTGAAATAAGATCTTTTAATCAACGTAATGCATCCTTGCTGAATAAAAGTATTAATTTCTGTTTGTATGGTAGCGTATCATGGTTTCCAGCAAAAAAATAAGAAATGGTAATATGAAATGTTTCTTGAGCATCAAATCCACATATTAGAATGATTTCTGAAGGATCATGTGACACTAAATTAATGATGTTGAAAGATATTAAAATAAAAAATATATATTAATGTTCTTTGCAAATGTAATATTTCACAATATTCATTTTTTTACTGAGACTTCGTCATGAAAATCGTTATGATTCCAAGCTTTTGAGGGTGTGCTTTTTAATGAATTATTGTTCATTGGTAATTCATGTTTGTTGATTATATATTCATGTTAATTTACAACTTTAAATGTCACAATTGTGTTAGTATGTGCAGAAATGATTATGCTGTAAAAGTATTTTTCATTGTTTGTTGGTGATACCTAATGCATTAACTGATGTTAACACATTGAACCTTATTGTAAAGTGTTATTTTATTTCCCTTTTTTTGAGGTTTATTACAGTCTCAACACTTTCCCCTCCCTTCAGTGACCCCTCCGATGATGGGCGGCCCTGTTCCCATGAACACAGACATGAGTGGCCTGAGCCCCACCAACCCCCTGCAGTCTCAGTTACAAATGGTGCCCTCCTCTCACTGCACACCTCCGCCACCCTACCCAATGGACAACAGTATTTCCAGGTACACAAATACACTCGCAGTAAGTCTCTCTAAAATGGCACATACGTGAAAGGGAAATGGCGTTATTGTAGTACTGTTTACAAGCTTAATATGTCAATTGCAGTTTCCTGTTGAGGCTGGGCTGTTCAGCCTGTTTGGACTATTTCACAGCCCAAGGACTGACCAATATCTACCAGATTGACAACTACAACTTGGAGGTGAGGAATTTGCCTTTCTCCTTAGTGTGTTTCTTTTGTGTCTATTTGTCAGGTGCCTGTTCAAGATAACATCGCCTAGAATTGTTCAACATGGAACTATAGCACTGGAAATGTCAGGATTCGGAGAGATCAGAGCAGTGGCTGCTGTATTCATGAGCTCTGTGGTATTTCCATCCACAGGACTTGTCCAGGCTGAAGATCCCCACAGAATTCCAGCACATCATTTGGAAAGGAATCATGGAGTACCGGCAGACCATGGAGTTTTCTCCACCTCCCCACATCTTGCGCACCTCTAGCGGGACATCCACTGTTAGCGTGGGCTCCACCGAAGCCAGAGGCGAGCGCGTAATCGATGCGGTGCGCTTCACTCTCCGTCAGACCATTTCCTTCCCTCCGCGGGATGACTGGACCGATTTCTCCTTTGACCTGGCTCCCGATTCCCGTCGCAACAAGCAACAGCGCATCAAGGAGGAGGGCGAATGAACACTATACATGCATACAACGGCAACAGTGTACATTTACTGTACACACACACACACACTCGGTTTCATATTAACACACTTGGTGTTGGTCCAGATCGTTTCACAGTTTTCCTAAGCAAGTGATGATTAAAAAAACTGTGAGCCTCATAGTCTAGTTCACTTACACTTAAATGGGCAGATAAAATGCACTTAAAGTCCTTTATGGTTTCATTATCTTCTGGTGGATTTAGCTCTGGTTGTCATTTCAAGCCCCTTTATTGAACGCAAGCAGCTGTGGCTGAGGGGAAATGGTGCTTTGCTAGATTGTTTTGTCATGTTTACTGTTTCTTGAGACGAAGCACTTAAGAAATGCTGTTGTTACTACTCATAAAATACACACTGAACGTTTGGGGTTTCTTTCCTTCTTTTTAAATGGCCAATGGTATATTTCTACGTTATTGTTCTTTTCTTTTTTTTGTATAAAAAACCAAAACAAACATTTTCCTCCCAGCAGGAGCTTTAGTGTTAATTGTAACCATTGTTGAGAATTCCTTGCGGTTGAACAAAGTCATTTTTAAAAGGCTGACGTTTGTCAGTTTTGATTGTATGTATTTCGAATCGCACATGGTTCTCTATTCTCGCAGAAAGTGTTATTCGTCTATTTTTATTTGTGGTGTAAGACTGATGTTGTCATGTAGCCTCTTCTATGTAATACTGTAAACCCTTTGTATCTTTTATTTGTGAGTCGCAAACACTCCAATACTAGAATTGCAGTGTGTAAGTATTGAATTGAATTGCTTGAACTGCTGTTTACTGGCCCGTAAAGTATAAAAGTGATTTTTATTGGTTCATTGGCCAATGTGTTTGTACATTGTCAATGCAATGTGGCTTCAGTATTTTTTTTAAACTAGTTTTCCAAATCACGTGATACTCGTTGTTAGCCTGTTTGTGGCAATATTGTACAGTTTGTTTTTTTTTTTTCACTTTTATTTGACAACTGAGTAAACAATTCTTTATCAAACTATTAAGGAAATATTGTAAATATGTTGCAATGTACTTATTTTGATATAAACCAAAAATAAAACAAATATCATTTAACATTGTTTTTTTTTTTCAATAATTAAATCAATTAAACAGGTTTCATTCAAATAGAAGTCAGACATGGTGGACCTCATTTTGATTTATTTAAACAGGAGATATTATCAATAGCATTCTGTGGTTTTAACAGACAATAAACAAAGGTTGGAAAGTTGAGCATTGGGGATAATCCTATGAACATCTTAATTTACAGGTCATTTTAAGAATCTTATTCTCATTTAAGACTTAATTTTTTTAGCACTTGCATAGTGTGAAACTGACAAGACTATTTCCAGAAATGTTCCTTAAGGGTTAGTTCACCCAAAAATGAAAATTCTGTCAGTAATTACTCTCCCTCATGTTGTTCCAACCCCGTAAGACTTTCGTTCATCTTTGGAACACAAATGTTTTTGATTAACTCTGAGAGCTGGATCACTCCTCCATAGGCTTCTTAAGGGATCGAATCTGGCCAGCCCAAAAGTTATCAAAGACATCGTTAAAATAGTCCGAGTGACTACAGTGGCTCAATCTTAAGTTTATCAAGCGACGAGAATACTTTTTGTGTGAAAAAAAAACAAAAATAACGACTTTATTCAACTACGGTATTCATGTCCTTCTCTGTGGGCCTCGAGATTTCACACATCACACACATGACCAGCGTCGGCCAATAGTGAGCCTACGTGTGACGTGCAACCTAGAAGCTTTGCGTAGTTACACTACGTGAAATCTCGAGGCCAACAGAGAAGGACATGAATAGTTGAATAAAGTCGTTATTTTTGTTTGTTTTTTTCGCACAAAAAGTATTCTCGTTGCTTGATAAACTTAAGATTGAGCCAATGTAGTCACTCTGAGTATTTTAACAATGTCTTTCATAACTTTTGGGCCGGCAGTTTCGATCCCTTAAGAAGCCTATGGAGGAGTGATCCAGCTCTCAGATTTAATCAAAAATATCTTAATTTGTGTTCCGAAGATGAACGAAAGTCTTACGGGGTTGGAACAACATGAGGGTGAGTAATTACTGACAGAATTTTCATTTTTGGGTGAACTATCCCTTTAAGGTAACCTTTTCCTCACATTGATTTGACCTCTGTTAAGGTTTATGTATAGATTATGTTTGATACTGGTAAATAGTTTGTGTATACATTTATTTTGATGGACACTGGATTCACAAGCCAGTTTTTCTTTAGTGCTTCAGCAGCATCAATACATAATACTTGCATTACTGAATAACTACTCAACAGATGCTGGTTCACTTAATTTAACTCAATTATTGGCATCTTCAACTTTCTCAATACATTCTCTAGTACATTTGTCCATTACTTATAGAGTAACCCATTCCTTTTAATCTTGAAAGCAACAATCACAAGACAACTTCATGGAACCAGGTGATCCAACAAAAGGTTAACAATTTCTGGGCATTTTAGTGAATCAGTACAGAAAGCAGCAGAGTTGTGTGGAAGTATATGTGTGTCACACTGGCGCAGCCTCTTGTGCAAGCAACCATACTTTCCAAATATGAAAATTAAGTATATATTCACCTCAATGTCTGTGATGAGGCTCCAGGTGAATTTGTTTGCTGTAAAAACACTGCTCTGATAAATATGTCAAACTTTTACATGAGTATTCAGCAATATATGATGTTTACATCTTCGAATAGCAAAAGAATGAGTGACCTCAAACATTAAAGCAGAAAAAGAGCAATGAGGTTCCTTGATTGAGGTTCCAAAACTGTTTTCTCATTCAGAGGACCTGTTTGGAGACTCATATAAAACAGCTATAGCTCATTAAGGCTCGAGACAGATAGATAACAAATCTAACTTGCTTAATTAGGTCAGTTTCTCAAATCAGAAATCAAAATCACAAAGCAAAATGAACAAAATCACCATTTCTAATGCAGGCTCATATTGACATCTCCATGCCCAAAGTTTTAGAACTCCCGTCAATCATGATGGCAGCGTGTAGAAAGAGTCTTGACAGTATTCCACGTCAGTGTTGCCCAGGGAGGAGGATCATGACAAGAAAAAAGAACAAAACAAAAAAAGTGTGGGAATGCTCTACTACCCCCTTCCCCTTCAGGCTGTTTTGGTTGGAGCTGTGGCTGTCTCCTGGATGACCAGAGTGAAGCATTTCTGATGTCTCTGTCACTAAGAGCTCTCCATAGCATCTAAAACTTTCATGATTTGCTGTTTGATGACTTTAGTGGCATCACCTGCGTCTGGAATTAAATACCTTGAGAAGAGAAGACAAGAAATATGCTTATGCTTACAATCTTGCAAACTACACAAAGACAAGTAAATGACACCAGATGACGTGTTGCAAAAACAAAAAAACCATTTGCATATACTGTTAAGTATATAGCAGGGTTATTATCATTGACTAAAACTATTTTGTTCATTGAAATAAATCTGAAATAAAAAATTTTGATGAAATATCTAAATAATTATACATTTTGCTTTGGCAACTAAATGAAATACATTTAAAGGCACAGTATGCAAGTTTCACCACTAGAGGTCACTTAATCAAAGCAATAACAAAGGCGTGGCTTGATGATGCTGTGAATGAGCGTGGAATCATGGGAGGTGTCATTTTCACCTCCACAGCCGATAGAAAGTAATCCGTCGGGACTTGGGTAGAAACCATGTTCATTTATGAGCTAATGTATTGCTGTTTAACTTGGTCAAAACAATCATACTAAAAATACATTTGAGTGTGTTGAAAAAGTTATGTTATAATGTTACTCTGTGCGTTCGCTCAGCGGCTGGTATGAGACACTTGTTGCTCATTACAATAAGCTAGATCGATATTAGAATATCATATAATTATAAAAGCTTGTGTTGCTAAATGTAATGCAATTAGTTTTAAAATATTGTATGTATGGCTGTATTACTGTTACTGCAAATGAATCTCTTTCTGATTATGCTATGTTAGCCACTTGACAAAATAGCGTTGTCTCTGAGGGATGGTACAAAAATGTTAATCAAGAAAAAAAAAAAAAAAAAAAGAGTCGAACATTAAGATTAACCGTGTTGAGCTGTATAACAATGATTAGTTTTCTGTCGATAAAAGTATCCAAACATTTGCTCACCTGTCTAATAAAACACATAATATATTAAAGCGTCTTTGGTGTTTCCATGGTTTCTACGGAAGTAAATTCTACAGAAATCGAGGGTAACGCGGATATGACATTATTGTCAGACGACGCAATGACGAGCTGTTACACTGGTTAAAATGGCAGATGTCTCTGGATTTAAACATTTTTGGAAACATTTGGGATCATTTAAGTACACAAGTCAACAAAATATAACATTACATCGTTCTAGTAGCTTTTGGATATTTTAATCCAAAAATCTTACATATTGTGCCTTTAAGTTGAAGCACTAAAATTACTAATGGGAAATAGAACAAACTAAAACTGAAATAAAAACAATTCAATCTAAGTAGTAATATTTAAAGAAAGGAAAATGTATAAAAATGACAAAAGCACAAAAGACAATTAAAAAATATATATTAATAATATATTCTTAAATAATAATATGAACTTATTTTTTTAGTTAAAATACATAAAGGTCTCTTGGTGTCCTGTTGTCATATTCACCATACCTCTCTACAGCCACTATCTCCACTCCTGCAGCATTGTTGTTGCCAAACTTAAAAGTGATGAGCTCTGGATGCTTCTTCTTAGAGGTGATCTTCACCACAGAGTTTAGGGCCTGCCTGGACTGGATGTAAGCAAAACCTTTTCGGGCAGCGATCTCTCTCAAACAGTACATGTGTGTTGCAGTGATCAGCAGATGACTGTGGAAAATAAAACAAATGGAATGGTCCACCATAATACGCACTAGAGCTGCTCGATTCTAGATAAATCGAGAATCACAATTTTTTGGTTAAAATAGAGATCACGATTCTCCCACTATTCTGAATAGACAACTAAACAACAGTCTATTTAAAAAATATTGAGTTCATATGAATTAATACTTTTTTTTAAATCTGTTTGAATGAATGAATGACTTGCTCATTAAGACTTAACTTGTTTCACTACTGGATGAATCAGCGTTTTTGAACAAATCTCTTGAATGAATGTTTCAATGACAAACATATTTTTAACAGTCACTTGTCGCCACTTACTGGCGTAACGATGTAATTGATACAATCTTCATTTGAAGAGTCAATTATTGAATAATTGTAAGACAGGTATAATGATATTGTGCGGTTGAAACGACTGTTTGTGAAGCTTTTTCTTACCCATGATAACTGCTCTCTCTGGGTCAGCGACACCATGAACACAGATTTGAACGTGATAGTAGTTTTCGAAGGTTTAATAGGCATGGCTGAATCATTTACATCTATGAATAAGATCGCGTGGGTATTTGAATTGAGATCGTGATCTTTTAATGATTAATCGTGCAGCTCTAAAATGCGGCCACCAACCATCTATCAGCTGGAAAGCCTCAGTATCTGATAGGCTGAATTATTAACATCACAGTTTTTCACATGCAACCGTATTATTACACTGAATACCTTGGCCAGAATATAACAATTGTGTTATAATGTTAGAATATAACCTTGTTTGTTTTTTAAATGGAGGAACTTTTATTTGATGATTTCACCTGTAGTGGAATCCCTGGAGCACCAATCCCATGTCTAGTTCTGATGTGCTCAGACATGTGGCCTCACCTTGGGAACATGTGTCCAGTCTCCTTAACTTCATTGCATGGAATATGGTGCTTCACATCTGGTTTGTTGATCCAAGTCTGTATATTGACAATCTCTTTCCTGTCATCATCTGATATTGATGAACTGTCAATCTCATCTAAAAGGAGGAAAGGAAAAAAGAAAACATGAGGAAATACACAGGGACCCAAATATGAGATGACTGAGTGTAGTGTACCAAAAGTTGAATTTATAAATAAATTTTATTTCTATTTAGCTTTCATTGATTTTTATTTCAGCTTTAGTGATTTTATTTCTTCAACAAATGAAAATTAGAAAAGTTGCTGCGGCAACTAACTGAAAGAAATAAG